TCTTCCGATTGTTGTCCTTGGCCTGCTTACTTGTATGCCGTCTTCAGTTTTTTTTTTTTTTACCTTACTGCGGCACTGATCCTTTATCTTCAAGAAATCAGCCTCCTCCAACATTTTTGTTTCGGTAGAGCCCTCGCCGCCCCCAAGCCCCCCCCCTCCCAGCTTTTTCGAATTCGGCGACTCCTGCTCTCCAAACCTAAGTATCAGGAGCGTCTCAGAAGAGAAACCATGGAAAAACAGTGGAAACGAACTCAAATTGGTCAAAACAACGCGATCAAAAAAGCTTGGAGGTTGCACACGGTCAGGATGCTGACCCCGTGACCCCGGAATTTTGACTCAAAAACCGGTTTAATAAACCCTTAGCGTTCAGACCAGGTTTTTCGGTGGAAAAACCCCACAAAAACCCCTCAAAAACCACCTCCCGAGGTGGTTTTTCAAAATCGGATTTAAACCCCTAAAAAACCGGTTAATTTGCGTTCACACCAGGTTAAATAAAAACCGGTTTTTGAAAAACCGGTTGAAACCGCTAAATATAAGTCTGGTATGAACAGGGTCTTAGACTCAGACACTGAGCTGGTGTGTTACGCCGAAGGGCGGTTATACCGGCTATACAGATACAGAAGCTGGTGTGTTACGCCGAAGGGCAGTTATACCGGCTATACAGATACAGAAGCTGGTTTGTTACACCGAAGAGCGGTTATACCGGCTATACAGATACAGAAGCTGGTGTGTTACGCCGAAGAGCGGTTATACCGGCTATACAGATTTGTAATTTTGCATCAGTCAGTGCAGAGCATGGTTTATCTCAAGAATTGAGACGGATAATTATTTTGGAAGGATTTTTTTGTTTGAGCCTATTTTATATGATCTTGGATATCAGCAGTGTATTTTGAGTAGCTTGCAATTAAAACGCTATTATAAGTATGGTTTTTGATCATTATATTATTGGATTACATAATATTATATTTGGGCTTTGAGCTCCAAATGAATCCTACTTTACCAGGGCTGGAAATACTGGGTGCATGATGACATGCACCTTAGTGGCAAAACAATATATTGGCCGAATGAGGAAATCTGTCTGATATATTATTGACATTTACTGCCATTTCTTAGCATATTGATTTTTATACTACAAATAGTCCAATGGTCCAAAAACAAGCTATTTGAGGAGTACCTTTATTCTATGGTACCACCAATAATAGTAGGACTGGTAGAACTAGCCTATATCTACGATACGAAAGCAAGGAACTTTTTTTTCGACACCTACATCACATTCTTTCCTCGTAGATTTCAGTATGGTATGTACTGGGATTGATTAAGAAAAAGGATCAGGAAAAGGACTGGAAAATCCAGTTTAATCCCTAAAATCACTTTGGTTGCCTCTAAATTCTCAATGTTTAGAAAGTTTCCTAGAGTAACAATCAGAGCTGCCACTTGATACATCAGCCTGGACAAACATAAGGCCACCCCTGTTATCACAATGGGCATGCCCCGCCCCTGTTGCCATAGTGATTCGGCTAGCCATGGCTGGTTGTGGCGGATGTTTGTTCTATAGAACAGAGCTGATGGAATGTTTGGCTGTAGAATTGACACAGCTACACTGGTGGAATGTGTGTTTGCTACATACAATGCTACATCCAAATTTGTAAACATGAAATTTGAACTTTTTCTGTATATCACTCACTCACTATCTGGTTTAGCGTCTGTATATACATTTAAAATTATATTTGTACCTGCACCAGACAAATTTTACCTGCACCACTCAGAATTTAGGGAGTACGGATCATATCATTGCCAATATTTCTTTTCTTTCATCAGAAATACCGGCAATTTTACCAGCACTAACCTGCACATACGAATGTACCCAGCACATAGACCAGTGCAGAAATACCTGCACAGCACCAATTTTACCTGCATATGAACCCAGTACTATTATTTTGGGCCCTGCTATTTCCTAATTGCCCAGATAAAATTCTCCGCATGTTTGAAATATCAGGTGTTAATGATAAATGATGAGGCCGTCCTGTAAGATACATATTGTGTATCTGCTCGGTAATGAAGTAGACAGTGAGTTATTATATCTACTTGGAAAAACATCTTGTGGAGTTATGGTTGGTGTGGCTTTTCTAATCAATTTTCACTCCCAAAAGGGACAGGGATATTAGGGCTTGAAATACTGGGTGCATGTGTGCCTTAGTGCACCCAAATTTGGAGCTGTGCACCCAATTTTTTTCTGTGGTTGCACCTGTGAGTGCACCCAAATGTTTTTATACTCATAGGTTTAGTTATGCAAAGATGTTGAATGTATCTAGTAGTATATAGCATATTCTTAACACCTAAGTGTAAGAAAAATGATAAAAGCATAATGTTATAGTACTTTTCCTTAGAAACGAAACATGAGTGTTTGGTCACATTCTATTTAAATAATAGTTTATCTTATATACCTAAATTTTTTTGTGCACCCAATTTTTTAAGTTGGGTGCACCAGTGCGCCTACAGTATTCCCATAAATGAATTTCGAGCCCTGATTTTGTAAAGGGAATCTGTTGGTGTGGCTTTTCTAATCAATTTTCACTCCCAAAAGGGACACGGATATTAATAGCAGTTTGTAGAATGTCAGCAGTGGTTTGGATGATTGAGTATAATTTTTTCTCTGATGGGTTTTACAGTCTTCATTTTGCAGAGACATTTTGCAGAAGAAATACATGAGCAAAGCTAAAGACATTGTTTCCTTTTGGACTTTCAAAAAATTTGCCAATTTTACTAATTTTATAATAATAATTTTAATTTACTAATTTTAATATCAATCAATCGTCTGACTTATAAACTTGCCTTTCTGACAACTTTCCAGTGTCACAAGTGTCTCCAGTGACAAAAGGTAGTGGATGCTACCTGAAACGACTGACCGTTTCCAAAATCATATCCAGTTTCTTGAGTAACTGTTTTTGACGTATCTTATTACCTAGATGTCTAACCTTCAACGATTTAAAAACATCAGCAACCCGCAGTTTTGCAGAGGAAAAAAAATCAGGTTAGCCTGCATCAGTTTTAGGGTTCCCAGAGGATGTCATCCATATAATCAAATCAACATGCCCTGAAATACAAAGAAAAATTAGAATTAGTTGGCAACCTCACATGGAATAAGAGTGCTAGGCGACAACTACATGTAGTCTATTGTAGAGCTAGGATCATTATATTGTCTATCGACACCTACATGTAATAATTAGTCTAGTTGTGCATTTTTCCCAGGTCCCCTATAGCGGAAATTAGACTGGTTGAATTGGGTACGTAGCACGTTTATTATTATGGCAGCAGTCGCTAGTAAATGGGGATGATTTACACCAATCTAACGCAAAAGTCTTTTTCATCTGTCATAATATTATCTCTCAATATAATCTCTCAATAATTAGTCTAGTTGTGCATTTTTCCCAGGTCCCCTATAGCGGAAATTAGACTGGTTGATTTGGGTAGCACGTTTATTACTATGGCAGCAGCGTCTGGTAAGTGGGGACAATTTACGCCAATCTGGCGCAAAAGTCTTTCTCATCTGTCATTATTATATTATCTCTCAACACCTAGTTATTAGTCTAGTTGTGCATTTTTCCCTGGTCCCCTATAGCGGAAATTAGACTGGTTGATTTGGGTCCGTAGCACGTTTACGTTTATTATTATGGCAGCAGCGTCTGGTAAATGGGGACGATTTACACCCATCTGGCAGAAAAGTCTTTCTCATCTGTCATAATATTATCTCTCAATATAATCTCTGAATAATTAGTCTAGTTGTGCATTTTTCCCTGGTCCCCTATAGCGGAAATTAGACTGGTTGATTTGGGTAGCACGTTTATTATCATGGCAGCAGCGTCTGTTAAATGGGAACGATTTACACCAATCCGGCGGCAAAGTCGTTCTCATCTGTCTGAGATTAACCAGGAAGTGTGCGTGCTGTCCGTAATTCCATGTCTCAGAATCACCCTTCTGGGTCTTGCATCCAATTTCTGGGGCAAATTGCTTGGCTGTGATTTAGAACTCAGGACTCGGAGAAAGATGCTCACCCGATTTTTGTCATCAGTCCAGCCAAAATGAAAACGTGTAAGAGTGATGGTTGGAGGTGGTGTGGAAATTTAAAATTCCAAAATCATATCCAGTTGCTTGAGTAACTGTTTTCTGGTGTGGGGAAATTTACTTTACTATTATAACCCCTGTGAAAAGTGGAGGTATTGTTTTGTGTGTGTGTCTGAATGTTTGTGTTTCCACCTTTTCAGGCCTGCATATTAATTTATTAACTTAAGAAGCTGTAGATGGAATGTAATGATATTTGGTAGGAGGGTATACGTAGGTCTTGGAAAGACAAAAGGTTGGTTTGCATTTGGGGCCTCCTGACAGCTTTCCTTGGTACTGCAGTAGAACTGTTTTTTTTGTTGTTGTTGTCATGATTTAAATTTACTATTTACAGGCGAAAATGACACAAGTCTGGGACAACAACAAGTACATAAAGATACAACTGCACCCATTCATGCACACCTGCACCACAGGACTCCAATCCTTGCACACGTACATGCACACTCGCACATGGACACTATGGGTGGTAAGGTGAAAGGGCTGCATAAAATAACACCACACACACGAGCAGCTGCTAATAAAGGTTTGTTATGATTTAATCATCGTTTGCCAAGCTTCACCTATCCCTAACTACTGTACATACTAAACAGACACAAGAAAACACAAAACGCAAGGCTCTTTGTGGCCTATTTCTTGGAAAGCTGCCTGGCCACTGACCACTTCAACAACCACACTGCTAAGAGTTGCTAAGCTCACAGTAGTAACTTAGCAGCCCTTCTTACTGTTTTTACAAAATTGCAGTTTGCTTAATTTTTCTTTTGCAATATTGAAAATGTCTCTGTAAAATGCAGACTGCAGAATGGATATTTCCAACACTGATGTACTAATATTACATTTTTATTCCAAAAAAGATAAGCCAGATTTTTTTCTTGCCCCTCCAGCCAAGAGCAGTGTTCCAGACGGCCCTGGAGAGATGGGGAAGGCTGTGATCATCCCCAAGGAGAAGGAGAAGGAGAAGAACGAGAAGTTCAAGATCAACCAGTTTAATCTGATGGCCTGCGAGATGATCGCTCTCAACAGGACGTTACCTGATGTCAGGATGGAAGGGTGAGGAACAGATTCAACTAATATTTTACACCATACCTTGGTAGGGATGAAATATATTGTTTTCTTGCCAAATCCTCAAAAGGGATCCGAAGTGGGGTGATAATTGTGAGTAAGGGTAACTTTAGCCTGCGAGATGATCGCTCTCAACAGGACCTTACCTGATGTCAGGATGGAAGGGTGAGGACGAGATACAGCAAATCTTAGAAGTTTATTATATTTTACACCATACCTTTACGTGTGTAAAGATATGCAGCATATTCATAACACATATATTGTGTAAGTGTCAGAAAAATAATAAAATCATAGTTTCAGTACATTTTTGCTGATATGGTGCACCCAAGAAATTTTTTGTGCACCCAATTTCAAGCCCTGTACATGAAATATTTTCAGTACCAGGGACAGATACAACAGTGTCTGTGTGACTGTTTCAGTACCACGGACAGATACAATTATAGTGTTTGATACATGTGAACATTTTCAGTACCAGGGACAGACACAACACAGCCTCATATATTGGAATGTTTAGAGACATATACAACATCATTTCTCTGGATGTTTTCAGTACTAAGGCCAGATACAACTGTACATCATAATATGATACTTCAGTACTAAGGCCAGGTATGATAGTTTTGAGATACCAGGAAAAACCATTAGTGTTAACTATGTGGATGTGATTCAGCACCAAGGACAGGCAAAGCTGCTAGAGCCAACTCACATGAAAGGCAAAGCTGTGGGAACTGTAAGTGATCTGTAGTGGTCAGGAAGATGCTTTCAGTGTTTTCAGTGACCATCAGTGTTAAATATGTGGATGTCATTCAGCACCAAGGACAGGCTAAGCTGCTAGAGCCAACTCACATGAAAGGCAAAGCTGTGGGAACTGTAAATGATCTGTAGTGGTCAGGAAGATGCTTTCAGTGTTTTCAGTGACCATCAGTGTTAAATATGTGGATGTCATTCAGCACCAAGGACAGGCTGAGCTGTTAGAGCCAACTCACATGAAAGGCAAAGCTATAAAGTGCTCTCATGTTTGTGGTGGGTTCTCTTTTTTGGCGACGTCTCGGGGAGGAGCCTAATGGTACAGTATTGTGTGCAGTTTGCAAGAATTCTAGGAATGGTACAGGCATTTTGTCCAGAGGAATGGAATGTCTACAGAATTTCTCTGACCCACATCTATGTCCACATTCCTGGAAACCCTTGGGAAGACCGGTACCAGAAGACCTGTCTGCCACGGATGGCCCTACTTTCTGTGACCCCGGGGCTCGTTCACTATACACTCTATCTGTGCAGGAGTGCACTTTATCTGTCTTCCTCAAAATCATGAAATGATGGCAGTGCCATGCAAACAATAACCCTAACATCAACCACCGTCGCCATGGCAATGTATGTTTTCATTGCCAGTCTTGTTCTATCTTGCAGGTGTAAAAGTAAGACGTACCCCAAGGAGCTGCCTTGTATGAGCGTGGTGATTGTGAATATTTTCAGTATCAGGGCCAGGCACAACAGTGTCCATCTAATATATTGGAATGTTCAGAGACAGATACAACATTATTTCTTTGAATCTTTTTTTCACGTTCCTTTTTGTTTCTTCCTGCAGGTGTAAAAGTAAGACGTACCCCAAGGAGCTGCCGCGCATGAGCGTGGTGATCGTGTTCCACAACGAGGCGTGGTGCACTCTGCTGCGGTCCGTACACAGCATCATCAACAGAACGCCTCGCGACTATCTGGAGGAGATCATTCTTGTGGATGATGCCAGCGAGAGAGGTAAGACAAAAAACGAGATACTGTCAAACTACAGTCAGTTGTAGAGTTTAAACTTGTCTGTCTGCGGACAGCATAACTCAAGAAGCCGTGGATGCATTGTCATGAAACTTGGTGGGTGGGTAGGTCTTGATGAGACCTAGAAATGATTAGATTTTGGGCCCCCTGGTGGCTTTCCTTTGTACTGCAGCAGAACTTTTAGTTTTGATATATGATGATCTAGACATTCATTAATGCATGGTTCTTAATGTATCGAAAAACATGAATGAGACATTAACCATAGGTTTCTATGGCCAAACCTGATTATAGTACTGCCCTGAAAGATCACAGTCTAGGCTGCCCCCTAACCCTAGAGTGTGCAGAATACATGTTCATGTGTGTCCACCCACAGGTACCAGTGTGCATTACAAATGGCCCCTTTCCTGAACACTCTCTCCCACAGGTAGGGGTTAATAGAGGTCAAGCTGGGACCACTTTGAAGCCATACATGTGGGACACTCTGGGAAGCTCATAGGAAATTCATACTCTTATACTAAGCACGTCGGCAGAACGTACTGCACCTGCGCGAAACCCGTAATGTATTGTACATAGCATTTCGGTAGAATGTCTCATATAAGGTTGTATTCGCTCATATAAGGTTAGCATTTCGACAGTAGTTTCCAATGGCCAAATGTCATGTTGGAAAGAATATCCTCTGCAACAGGAAAAATGGTGATGCAACGTTGACCAAAAACCCAACGAAAAATGCGAAAATACAGGGTTCTGCGCAGGCGCAGAACGTTCTGCCAACGTGCTCTTATACTACTGGAAGCACGTCGGCAGAACATACTGCGCCTGCGCAGAGCCCTGTATTTTCACGGTTTTCAGTGGATTTTTGGTCAACGTTGCATTCAATTTGGAATTTTTTCTGTTGCAGACGATATCTTTTCCGACATAACATATGGAAACTACAGACGGGATGTTGACCTTATATGAAGTACGACTAGTACGACCTTATATGAGACCTTCTGTCGAAGTGCTATGTACAATACATTACGAATTTTGCGCAGGTGCAGCATGTTCTGCCAATGTGCTACTACTGGATAAATTACAGAGATAATTTCGGGACATTTTTTTGAGTGACATCCACCACTTTTCTTCAGCATCTAATGAACTAACAGAACTCGTTAACACTTGTATTATGAGCAACTGGAAAAAACCAGTTGGACAAGGGCTCATGTAGTCATTGATATGTATCTGGGAAGCTGTTAGCTAGGCCATGGAAATGGAGAGCTTTTCTCTGTTAAATGAGCCCAGAAAGATTCATGACTTGTGTTATAAAATGTGCAATAATTTGAAATGCAGACAGATTGCCCTTTTTTTTTGTAAGTTTTTTTTTTTTTACTGAAATCTTCATATCAGATTATGGAATGATTATTACATCTACCTACCTACCTGCCTGCCTGCCTGCCTGCCT